GTCAAAATAAAATAAAATAAAATGGGCTAAAAAATCAATAAAACAAAACATCACATTCAAACATAATCATTTTATTTTTTCTCTCACAAAAGCCTAAAAAATCAAAAAAATATATCTTAAACGAGACTTTTTAGCTCTAGGTTATAATGAAAAAGCCAATCCACATTCCAAACGAAGGCTTAACAGTATTCTTAAAATGGGAAAGAAAAATGGTTGGAAAAAAAACGAAATTTGAATTGAAATACATTAAAAAATAGGTAGTCAGTGCGTTGAAATAAAATCTTATAAATGCCTCCGTTTGGGAAGTGAGTTGGCTTTTTAGCCTTTTTAGCTATTTTAGCCTGGGCTAAAAAGTTTGGCTTGTGAAGGACTTTTTGGCTTTTTAGTTTTTTTAACTTTTTTTGTGAGAGAAGAGTATAATAATTATGGGTTAGATGTGGGGTGACTCTATTTACACACCACATTTGATCTTAAGGCACACCATTACTTAGTTCACACCTTTAATAATTTGCAAAAACATACAGCTTGTTTGGTTCTGATTTTCAGAAAACAGTTTTTCAGAAAACTTTACCCTTTTATTTTCCGTATTTTAATATTTTAAATGAATTTTTTTAACGTTTTAAACAATTTTTTTTAAAATTTTTTAGACACACTTCATATAAATATACTTAAAAAGTATAATATTTATGAAAAAAATATTTAAAAAATACACTAAATACCAAAAAATACAACAAAAAAATGAAAATTCAATACAATTTTCATATTTTTGTATATTTTTTAATTTTTAAAAATATTTTTTACAAATATTATACTTTTTAAGTGTATTTATGTTAGGTGTGTCTAAAAATTAAAAAAAAATTGCTAAAACATTAAAAAAAATTCATTGAAAGCATTAAAATACGAAAAATAAAAGAATAGAATTTTCTGAAAATCAGAACCAAACAGACTATATGTTTTTTCAAATTATTACATGTGTGAACTCAGTAGTGATGTGCCTTGAGACCAGATGTGGTGTGTAAATAGAGACACCCTTAGATGTGATGTTTTATTTTTTGTGATTAAAATAACTTATTTTGTTTTTTGTGACTAAAATAGCCATTTTAGCCCTTCCCAAACAATGCCAGAAGTACCTGTAAGTGCATAATATTTGCCAAAAAAATAAGGGTTTGAACTAATAGATCATATGTTTTAAGTAAAGCTATTTTAATCAAATTTGAGTATTAAATTTTAGGATAAATTACAAATATATTTCTTGATATTTGTTTAAAGTACAAATTGTCCTTTGCAGTTTGGAAAATTACAAATATTTTATTGTTATAATTTTTTATTTAACAAAAATATTCATAATTACTTTCCTATACAATAATAAAATTACCTAAATTATTAATTAAAATATATTTCTAACATCATTAAAAACTGTTAATTGAGTTGGTGATTTATTAATAAAATGGGTAATTTGTTATGAAATTAGAAACTTCAGAAGGTGAAATGTAATTTTTAAAATCATAAAGGACGATTCGTATTTTAATCAAATTTCAAGAGATGTATTTGTAATTTGTTTTAAATTTTAAATATCACAAGATGTGTGATTGATTCATTAATTTTTAATAGTTTTCATCCTTGTGGGTCATCTTATGGTGATGTCAATACATTAATGATACATCCTAAATTTTAACAATGATGCTATATGCATTAATTAATATATTAATTATTGTATCAATATATGTTATGGTATTATTATTGATCCTACTCATTATACAAATTAAAAATATCAAAGATATCTTAAATTATGTTACGTTATCAATTAATATATTAATTGATATCTTAATTGGTACGTATAGTATTATTCAAATTTTAAATATTACAAGATGTGTCATTGATATATTAATTTAATAGTTTTCATCCTTGTGAGGCATTTATGGTGATGTCAATACATTAATGATACATATGACATCAAAAAAATTGAGACATTATTTGATATGAAAAATTTTAGAAAAACAATGTTTGATTTGAGTTTTCTGAATTAAGTTTTTTGAAAATTGAATTTTTTGATTTTCGTGTTTTTTTGTTTTTAGTGAATATTTTTTAAATTTTAAACATTTTTTTACTTTTTTAGATGCACCTTACTTAGATGTATCTAAAAAATAAAAAATTTGTGAAAAAATATTTTAAAAAATTAATAAATACATAAAAATACAAAAAATATACTGAATTCTTGTATTTTTTTTAATATTTTTGGTATTTAGTGAATTTTTAAAAGATTTTTTTTACAATTTTTTTACTTTTTAGGTGTATTTATATTAGGTGTGTCTAAAAAGTAAAAAAATTGCTTAAAATATTAAAAAAATTCAGTAAAAACAAAAAAAATACGAAAAATAAGAAAGTATATTTTTTTGAAAAGTGTTTTTTGAAAAGTGAAAACAAGCAAATAGAATACTATTCAGACGTAATCATTAAAAAATTATTACATATTAATAAATTTTTTATAATTTTAGTTATTAATATCCGTCATTTTTTATAATTACTGTTTTTAATCACCACTGATAGGTTATTTTCTCAAAATTTTATATCCATTAATTAATCTCCATAACATTACTTTAGGTTATATTTGTTTGGAACGATTAAAAAGGTTGAATTGGACTAGAAAAAGTACGAAGCTTACAGATGAGAATTTGTTTCCCAACGAACTTGTAATCTTGCATTTATTTGATAGTACTAGCAATCTGAATTGAATTGTAATTTTTTTCATATGGAGATTATCGGATATAATGTTGGGATTATTTGTCTCTTTCTTTAATTTATTTTACCTTCACAAGCAAATGATAAAAAATGATCTTTCAAATTTTATTTCACTCAAATCAAACAAACTGATAATACATACTCAATTAGTATTTTTACAGCTGTTAGATGATGCATGCAAATCTGCCATTAGAATTATGTGCCGTTTTGGGAAGAGTAATAAAACGCAACGTTTTTGTTGATATGAAAAAATGCCGAGCCAGCCAAAAACGCAAGAAATGTATTTGTGAAGTGATAAAAACGCTGTCCTGTCAAATTATGTAAATACCCTCCATCATTTTCAAAAAATTGTTAAAACACACGCATGGGTAAAATAGTAAAATTTCAAAGTTTGGCAAGGATATTTTGGTCATTTTATTTTGATTTGACATAATAAACAAATATTAACCCAAAAAGTCAAAAGTCATCTTTTTATCAACTTTTCAAATCATTTTCTAAAAAAGTCAGTATAAAGTCAAAAGCTAATTTTTTACCAATTTCTCAAAACACCCCATGTAAGACCATCTCCAACGGTTCATCAAAGTTGACACCAAATTTAAAATCTGGTGAAAAAGTTACTGTTTGATACTCCAACGGTTGCACCAAATCGATATCAAATTGAGATTTCAGCAAACAATTCATCAAACTGAGGACAGAATACATATTTCATCAAAACACTGTGTGTGACCGTTGGAGCAGAAAAGGTTTAGAATTTTACACATGGTGGTCGACCACCTGGATGACCACCTGGTCGACCCCTTGGTCGACCACCTGGTAGGTAGGTTCAAACAGTTCAAGAAAGTTATTAAAAAAAAAAAAAACAAAATTTGGCTTTACCGGTCGACCCACTGGTCGACCAACTGGTTGACCCACGGAGGTAGGTTCAAACAGTTCAAAAAGGTAAAAAAAAAAAAAAAAATCCTCCTAACCGGTCGACCGGTTGTCCTGAAGGAGATTTGATGAAGGTGAACCGTTGGAGCATTCAGTATCAAATTGAGGAAATGACCATTTTTTTACTCAGATTTGTTGAAACATTTGGTGAAACGTTGGAGATACTCTCACGTAATAGTACCTCTATTTATGAGAAGTTATTTGGAGTTCTTGAAATGAAACATGATCAAATGTAATAAGAATGTGGTTGTTTATTGCAACTTATAGCTCTTTTTTTTTTCTTCTTCTTATTCTTGAGAATATGCGTCAAATTGCTTAAGATAGTTTCTGCTTACAATTTATAAATAAAAAAGAACTTCAATAATTTTTTTTTTTTTTATAAAAAAATTGATTATCAAGAAGTAAATGAAGGATATTTTTAATTTGTACTTTTCATCTTATAATAAACTGCATCCTATAAGGACAATAAGAGACAAGTTACTTGCAATTAAACGAGTATAAGGCCCAATTTACAATTTTATGCGACTTAACAGGTGCCATTTTCCATTTCCTTTCCTATTTATAGGAAAAGTTTAGTGTACATTCCTTTCAAAAGAGATATATTATATGTATTTTTAATTATATCATTTTTTAATTATAATATTATTTTGATTATGACTCATAAAATTTTTAGTCATGACTTATGTAGTATTTGAATATAATTTTTTTCTTTTAATTATGACTAAAAAATATAAAATTATTTCTTTAATAATAAGATACCTATATGATATACATTCAAACAGATGTGGATAGTCTTTCCCCTATGATATACATTCAAACAGATGTGGATAGTCTTTTCCCCTATTTGTAGCCCAAGCCAGTCTCAAATTTCTAATGGACTGTTAGTTATAGTTTTTGGCATGATCATAATTTATTTTAATTTGAGAATTTATATCAGATTGTTTGGTGTAATTTTTATTTATAGTATATTAGTTAGAAATAACTTAAATAAATAGAAAAAAATAATTATTTAAAAATTGAGACAAGAATACTTTTAATTTCTACTTTTTAATTAGAATAATGTTATATGTACGAATTAATGTACTAACTAGTATACTAATTGACGATATGTCATAATTTAAGAGGTTTTTAGAATTTGTAATGTGATTAGTGAATAGAGTTAATAATGATATCATTATTAATATTGATACACTAATTAATATATTAATTAATATATGTAATATAATCATTTTAATTATCAATTTATAAATTGGAAAAACTTCACCAAACGGGGCCAATGTGCGCCGCAGGAATACAATTTATTCCTTTTTCTCCCCGTCAAGTGATCAGTTAGTGTCTAATAAGCATTGAGAAGATAACAACAACTCCCCCAAACCCCCAAATAAACCTGCAGCCAATGAACCACCAGAAACTTCATCCTCTGCTTCCACCCATTCCCCTTTAAAACCCACCATTATCACTGTCTCTCTCTCTCCATCAAATTCAAACACACACACTCTCTCTCACTATGTCACATAACCATTGAAGACTTAAAGCTTACTCTGTTTTCAACCACTTCTACACATCCATGGCTTCCTCTTTCTTTTTCATTTTCCTTTCAATCTTCTTACCACTTATTTCTCTATCCACCTCACAAATCTTACTTCTATCTCTAACGCACTCACTCTCCCCAACACAGTTCAACTCCACTCCTCACCTCCTCAAATCCACCTCCACCCGCTCCTCCACCCGCTTCCACCACCTCCGCCGCCACACCACCCCCCACCCCGCCGCCAAATCTCCCTCCCTCTCTCCCCCGGCAGCGACTACACTCTCTCCTTCTCCCTCGGCTCCAATCCCCCCCAAACCATCTCTCTCTACATGGACACCGGCAGCGACCTCGTCTGGTTCCCCTGCCACCCCTTCCAATGCATCCTCTGCGATGGCAAATACAACCCCTCCACCATTTCCAACCCCGACCCCCTCAATCTCTCTGCCTCTTCCTCACCTGTTTCCTGCAAATCTCCCTCCTGCTCCTCCGCCCACTCCTCCTCTTCCCTCTCCTCCTCCGACCTCTGCGCCGTCGCTCGATGCCCTCTCGAATCAATCGAGATTTCCGATTGCGCCTCCTTCTCTTGCCCACCATTTTACTATGCTTATGGTGATGGAAGCTTAATCGCTCGCCTCTATACCGATAGTTTATCGATACCCATGTCTTCGCCATCGCTGATTATTCGAAATTTCACTTTTGGGTGCGCTCACAGTGCCCTCGGTGAACCTATTGGGGTTGCTGGCTTCGGCCCAGGAGTGCTTTCATTGCCCGCACAGCTCGCTAGCTTCTCTCCCCAACTGGGTAATCAATTCTCTTACTGTTTGGTTTCTCACTCGTTCAATGCGAACCGAGTTCGCCGCCCGAGTCCGCTCATTCTGGGTCGATACTCAGTTGATAATAAGCAGAAACAATTGGGGAACAGTAATGATGATGCTGAGTTTGTGTACACTCCAATGCTTGATAACCCAAAACACCCTTATTTCTACAGCGTCGGACTCGAGGCTGTGACGGTCGGAACGCTGCGGATTCCGGCGCCGGAGAGCTTAAAGAGGGTTGACGGCGGCGGAGACGGCGGCATGGTGGTGGATTCCGGGACTACTTTTACTTTTCTGCCACTGCAACTGTACGAATCGGTGGTGGTTGAGTTCAATCGCCGAGTTGGGAATGTTCACAAACGAGCGAGTCAAATCGAGGATAACACGGGACTCGGTCCGTGTTACTACTTCGATGACTCGGCTGGTGACGTGGCTAAAGTGCCAGCTGTGGTTTTTCATTTCGTGGGGAATTCTAGTGTGGTGCTGCCTAGGAGGAACTATTTTTACGAGTTTTTTAACGGTGGTAATGATGGGAAGGGGAAGAGGAAGGTTGGGTGTGTGATGCTGATGAACGGTGGTGATGATGCTGAGGCGAGTGGGCCCGTGGGGACGCTTGGGAACTACCAGCAACAAGGGTTTGAGGTGGTTTATGATTTGGAGAAGCGTAGGGTTGGGTTTGCGAGGAGGAAGTGCGCATCTTTGTGGGATAGACTGAACTAAAGCTAACTTGCGCCGCCTCTGTGGGTGCGTTGACTTTTCTTTTTTGGGTCGGGTCAAGGCGTGCGGGTTGGGATGGAGGCTTTGACGGGCACGGATCGGGGGAGTGAGGAGAGTCCAAGTATTGGAATTTGGGTTTTGTACATTTCAATTTTCGCTCCTTGCAATGGTGTAAATTTCAATGTTGATAAGGGACATAAAAAATGATGGTTGTGATGTAAGATTGCAAGAAACGAAAATTGGAGTAAATAAAGCTACGACTTTAAAAAAAAAAAGAGTGTAAATAGGGACATTAGGATATAAAAAAGAAAAAATATTTTGACTTGTATAAGAGTTATTTGTGTTTTTTATACTTTTGAGTGATTGTCTATGCCTTTTAGATTTCGAAATGAACAAGCTAGCCTAGTGTGCATAGTTCCATGTATTTCACCATGACTTTTGGTAATCCTAAGATGCAACGAGCATTGAGTAATATTAATCCTTGGATTAAAAAAAAAAAAAATCATTGGATCAAATCTTAATGATTGGATCAAACCAATTTCTTTACGCTGTGTTTGGTTGGGGGATTTGGGAAGGGAAATGGAAAGGGAAATGGAAATGAAAGGAAAAGGAGAAAGAATTAATAGAATTCCAAATCCCAACTATGTTTGGTTGTGTTGGTTATAAAATAGAATTGATGTCCTAAAAGGTATCCTATTTCTTTATTTATTTCTCACCCCCTTTCTTTTCCCATATATTTTTTATTATAACCAAACATAAATAAGATTACATTTCTCATTCCTTTTCCAAATCTCACCTCAAAAACTTCAACCAAACACAGCATTAAGAACTCTACACCCATTCGTTGGCACTCCCCTTCTCAGAGCCAAATTGAATATGAATGGTACTTTAATACGGATGATACTTAATCTCGAGGGGTTAGCTTAGTGGCTTGGACTTGGAATTTAGGGTTTATTTTTTTTAGATTTTAAGTTTGATTTCACCAATCAATATAAAACCTTTGTGGTCATGGATAATAAGGAAACTTGTTTTGAAGGGTTTGTGTTAACTGTAAAGATTTAATTTAGTGCGCAAAAGTTGACTTAGAAATACCTTTCATAATCCCTCCCCCCCAAAAAAAACCCATAGATGATGCTTCAAAAGGCAATCCGAGTTGGGCCAATGGAGGTAGGCTAATTAGGAACCATGAAGCATAATGGATGGTAGACTTTTGTGGGTGTATAGACATGGCAACAAGTATGGAAGCAGAACTATGAGACCTTAGTGATGGACTTCACTTGGCAGCCAAACTCAATTTGAAACACATTCAAGTAGTAGTCGATGCAAAGATGGTGGTGGATTTTGTGATGAACAAAAATAGCATGAATTTCAAGTCAACAATATTATTCTTGATTGGAGGTTCCTATTGGACCAATTAGGAATAGTGAAGATTATAAATTGCAATGGAGAGGCTAATGCATGCACGAACTAATCAACAAACTTGGGAAGCAAGATGAATTTAGGATTTTGTGGCTTTATTTATTTCTATTTTCAATCAACTAGCCTTAGATGTCAGAGGATAAACTTGTAATAGATTGATTTAATTTATGCAGTACCCTTTTAACCAAAAAAACAAAAATGTTTAGTAATTTTTTTTACTATAAATTTTGTATGGGTCTAGCCAATAAGTGCCTCCAAGATATAAATAAAACACACAAAAAAATAAAATAAAACAAAATAATAATAGTAATAAAATATATTTTTTTATTATACTCACTGTTGCATGAACAAAATGTGTGTATTGAGCAAGGCGGGTGGCCTAATGGTTAGGGACGTATCCAAGCTGATGACTAGGTTTTGAGCCCCAACATCCCCATAGCCCTTCCTCCATAGGTAGATAATGATGGTGTTCTTATACCTTGTGTGATCGACGAGATTAATAATAAAACGATTAATAATTTCATAAATTAATGTAGGATTAGTTATTCGATTAAATTAATAAGACAACCATTTATTATGTATTCATTTTATTTTTTTTCTCATACTTGAAATTATGACCCTCTACCCCTCTTAATATTCAAAATTCATTAATTTCGTCAAATTAAATATCCAACTTACATATAATCCGGTTAATAAAATTTACGATTAAATATGAGATAATGAGTAGATAAACTAACAACCACTACTAAAATTTTAGCTTTTTGCGACGGCAAGAGGGGAGTCGCAACTGGGGGCGTTGCAAAAGAGTTTTTGCGACGACACTGTGCCGTCGCTAATGTTTTGCGACGGCATTTTTTGCCTTTTGCGACGGCACTTTACAGTCGCTAATAATGTTTGAAATTTCTTGATTTTTTGCGACGGCACTATTTTACCGTCGCTAAAAATGTTATTTGAGACGGCAAAAAATGCCGTCGCTAATAGTCTTTCTTTTTTTTTTGGCAATGGCAAGAACATTGCTTTTGCGACGGTGTGGTGCCCTCGCAAAAAGTATTAAAAATAAGAAAATTTCTATTTTTTGCGACAGTGTACCGCCGTCGCAAAAAGTATTAAAAAATATTAAAATTTCTATTTTTTGCGATAGTTTAGTGCCGCTGCAAAAAGTAAAACCTGTAACAAAATCAATAAAAATATTAAAATTTTCTATTTTTTGCGACGGTGTAGTGCCGTCACAAAAAAGAAAAAAACATCCTGGGATAAAATTATTAAAAATATTAAAATTTCTCCATAATAATTGCATAATAATATAAAAATTCCTGTATAAAAATAACAATTTCTCCATAATAAAATATTCTTCCATTCATAATTACACATCAACAAAATTATCCCACTACATAATGTTTCATAATACATATATAATGTTTAAATATATGATTTTGTTCATAATTCAAAATAACATAAATCAAAATTAAATGTTTTTCTCATCATTCTTCGTAGATAACAAAAATAAAAGTTAGCCACATTCTCCACAGGCATGCATTCCACAAGAAACATACTCCTACATGGGAAATATCTGAAAAATAAAAATAAAAATAATTACTGACAATATAATTATGTGTTATGTTAATTACAAAAAAACATAAAAATTTAACTATTATAGCATCAAATATAACATTTTTTTTTGTTAGTCATCAAATCTCACATGGATAATTAAACCTCTCAATCAAATACAAAAATAAAAATTTAACTACTATAGCATCAAATACAAAAAAAAAAAACATAAAAATTATATCTGAAATCTGGCTTTAACTCCCAATAACATCAAATACAACATTTTTTTTGTTAGTCATCAAATCCCACATGGATAATTAAACATCGCAATCAACAATGAAGACAGATGCATTTCTGAGAAAATTAAGCAATGGAAATAAGTCATGACACCTTTAAAGAAATGTCAGCCTTCTAGTATTTATACAAAAGTTCGTCATCCTTCAATTAATTGGCACATACACATTTTTTTTTCCAGCTGGATTCTCGATGGATTCACCATCATTAGTCTTCATAGTCACTTTTTTGTTAAAAGAGTTGAGTGTTTCCTACAAAAAAACTGGGGATTTTTTTTTTTTTAAAAAAAAACAAATGCATCAAGCCAAATGGCAGTGCACATCTAGGACAGTGACTTTAAAATGCCTCCTCAACATAACAAATAAACACCATGTAGAAATCAATAAGAGGGCGAAAAATTCAGACACTCAAAACATTTAAGTCCTCTAGGACATGTAGGGGGCATGCGCAGGCGTGCATGCAGGAAACTACCTTCTATTTGCCAGTGTCAAAAACTTCTTAATTTCTCCACTCCGCCCTGTTATAGCCTGGTTAAACTGTAGACCCCCTATTAGTTAAGGTGCTAAATTACTATTCTAACTACTTAACAAAGAAATAGCACATTGCCCAATAACAAGCATAACATTGGCATGGTGTGAAACACCATGGAAGCAAATATATACTTATAAATCAGATCCAGATGGAAACAAAATCTGATCTGTCAACATTTAGCCGTACAATCCAGCTCTAACTCATCTTATCAATAAAAACCTTATTATATTTTCCACAGATGTATTTAAAGTTGAAAAAACAAGTAATGAATACAAAAAAAAAAAAAAAAAACAGATAAGGTTAAATAATAGGAACCTAATTCAAGTTTCAACCCACCATCTCCAGTAAGTATCCATCTCCAGTAAAGTATCACCCAAATTTACCCTTTAGCAAAAACCACAATGTAAACCCTTTATTTCAATAACGTAGCTTACTAGCTTGGACGCGATATCAGAAGTTGCCAGCTTCCAAAATCTAATAGTCATTCACTGAAGATCAACACCACCCAGATCAGACAAGATGTAAGAGCAAGGAACTGCATAGAAGAGTCTCTCACACGTGGCAAGTTTTGATTAGCAAGACTGTCAATTTTTTGTGGTTCAACTAGAATTTTAAGCCAATTACGAAACCTTAAAAATTCACAACATGCCTAAACAAGGCTACTGCATGCCCATGCACAGCATTGACCACAAAATTACTACTCACAATTGTTGGACTTGCCAATGACCAATCAAGATAGAAGGATAGCTGAAACTTAAACAAAAATTAACAAATACAAATATTGTTTTTTACACTTGTTTTTTGATTGATTAGTAATACTTCTTTTTTCATTCAGACCAACCTTGGTTTCTTTAAAAATTAACAGCTTGAATTTTAGGCCTAAATGATGATAGCATAAAATTAGTGATCTTTCAGGAATTTCACATTTTAAAAAAATCATTTTACAACAACTTATATCCGTCCCCAAGTAGTTCAAAAAACAAGCTCGTATGGATTCATGTCCTACATTTTATTTTTCAAAACATATTATTAACAATATTGTCAGCATAAAATTTCCCCTAACACATGTTGATAGCTAATTCACTAAAACATAAGACGAAAGTAGGCCTTAGGGATCCGACAGTGCCACGTGGAAGGCTCGTCGCTCAAGGGTTAAAAGTTACTCTATGAATAATAGGCCGAAGGACATTTTCTATTTTGCCAAACACCACAAAATAACAATGATTTCTACGTTCAGGCAAATAAATACACATGAGAAACCTAGAACCATACCTTATAGTAGCCTGATGAGCATCCCGAGCATTCCCTTGTTTAAGACAAATAAGGATGAATTCCAATTGAACAGCGAATCTATCCTGCCAACAATTGAAAGGTTGAAGAACATACTCAATGCGAATAAAATGCACATTAGCAAGAGAATCAGTGCCTAAAACACATAAACCTTTTAGACAATGTTTGGAATAATGCCTTACAGTTTCAACCAAAAATTAGGCATCTAAACTGCAAAATAAAAATTTTTACCAAAGCAACCAGATGATGATGCTCACGAATGTGTTGAGTTTGACTTCATTTGTAAGTGAGAAATTCCCATTACCTTTAGAATATTGTCACAAAAATATAGATAT